CCCGTCTGCATACCCGCTCTGCTGCTAGAGTATCCTTTTGGGCTCTTTGAATGGCCTTAGCTCGATTTATAACTTCCTACAAGCTAGGCAAGTTTAAAGCCAATATCATCTCTTTCAACTTTGGCCTCAAACCTTCAACGAACCAATTATGTTGGCCTTTATCATTGGGAACCACCTCACTAGAAAAATGACTCATCTTATTGTACTCAACCTCGTACTCATGTACTGCTCGATCGCCTTGTTTCATACTAAGAAACTTCAGCAGCATTGACCGCATAAACTGCTCCAAGATATACTTGTTCTTAAACTCATCTTCCAAGAACTGTCAGATCAATTGCTTAGGTAGTGCATACATCGTAGTGTTTGTCCACCACAATCGAGCTGATCCTCGAAGTAAAGATACAGCTCTGCCCAGCTTTTCAGAATCTGAGCACTGAAGACTTTCTAGCATCACTATAACGTCGTTTAATCATAAATCAACATCCATCAGACCTTCATCCTCTTCTCTATGGAACTCAAGAGCTCTCAAACTCCTCAACTATTTTGGGATTAATATTCGCGGTGTATAAGGAATAGAGGGAGGCGGAGGGGGTTGAAATCGAGTCAAGATTACATTAAGAGCCTGCATGAAAGCTCCAAACTCTAGCACTGACATACCCTGATGTGCCAGTGCACTAGCATTTTCGGACGAAATTGGGTTCTCACTATTAGCTTCATAGTTCTCACTTCCTGACCCTTCTCTAATTTCGTGTCCAGTCGCTCTCTGTGAATTCATAGAATTCAACATCTAATAGAACATACATAATGATAATACTCAAGTTAGTAAGGAGTGACATCAATCGTATTCTAACTATACCATATCAGTAACATTGATATCTTAGTGGTATGTAAACCCTTTTTACAGTAAAATACACCCGATTTTGATCGATAATCAAATAAACCTATAGCTCTGATACCAATAAATATAACACTCATTACCCGTATACGTTCCCGTACACGAAACACAAATGTCACATAACTTTTAAAAACTTTCCTAACTTTTGAAAAACCCATAAAATTTTGTTTCTAATTATAAAACTCTTTAATTTAATAATAATAAAACATTCATTAACTTTTAATATGTAAACAAATCTTAAAATACGAACATATTATATTTTTTCATCATTATAAGTCAAATACTTTTCAAAGCATTTTCATAAGTCTATTACATGCCAACTACATACATCAAAAGTGGACATGGTTGTCATACAATTACTGATGAGGTGACCCTTGATTGGCGATGTCAGATGCCCTCCTTACACCGATAGCTAAAACCTACGCGTGAAATCAACACACGCTAAGTATTTACTTCGTGAGGCAATAACAATAATGAGGTGAAATCAATACATATGTATATCATAACTATCAAAATTTGAATTAATTATTTCAAATCATTATAAGTTATGTGAAATGCACGCGTGGTGCCAATATGATCATTCATAAGCTCCTTTTGAATTTCATGGGTTGTACACTTAGTGTCGATACGATCGTTCATAAATTTATTATGAATTTCATGGGTTGCACACTTAGTGTCGATACAGTCTTTCATAAACTTATTATGAATTCTGTGGGTTGCACACTTAGTGCCAATACAGTCGTTCATAAACTTATTATGAATTTTGTGGATTGCACACTTAGTATCGATACGGTCGTTCATAAACTTATTATGAATTCTTTGGGTTGCACACTTAGTGTCGATACGGTCGTTCATAAACTTATTATGAATTCCGTGGGTTGCACACTTAGTGCCGATACGGTCGTTCGTAAACTTATTATGAATTTCGTGGGTTGTAAACTTAGTGTCGATACGGTCGTTCATGAACTTATTATGAATTATATCGTGCCGATACGTGAAAATGTAACATATACATTAAACAAACATGCAATTATAACTCTCAACATACATAATAATTGCACTCACTTGATTTGCCTTCTTATTATGCACCAATGTAGTATGACTATTCTGCGACTTTAGCATTGCCTCTCTATTTGCTTGACTCGGGAGCTTCGTTAAGATCTACACAAGAATCCATAATTACACATGTCATACAAATGTTAGTATACTTTCTAACATTTATTCTTTTAATAATACTAAAAAGTATGATTATTTAAAAATTCTATTGAATATCATCATATCTTTACCAGGCTTGCTAGTATCGGTACCCCTACTATGGTATCGATACTTCTATAATATGGTACAGACACTCCCTTCAGTATCGATACCATTTTTACATTTTGGAATCCATAGTATTGATATCTTTCTCTTAGTATCGATACCCACATTATTATCAATACTATTTGCATCAGTAACGATATTGTTCATCTAAATTTCCCAAATTTAAACCTATAGTATCGGTATTATTCTTCCAGTACCGATACCCTTACCCATATTTTTCATATTTCACTTCGATTTTTACCCTAAATTTTGTTTAATTCTCTTACTTTTACCTCCAGCAATACCCTTAAACTTATCATCACTTAATCCAACTAACTCTCCTCCATTTAGCTTCTTATAACTTCTAAAATCTCCAAAGAACATCCCAAACTAAGAATCACACTACTTTTTCATACATGTTTTTAATCACTTCCAAGGCTTTTATTCTTTTATTTACTTTTTTGACAAGTCAAATATACCTTTAAACTTCTATAAAGAACCATATTCTATCATTTCACTCAAAAACCTATTTTATTCAATCTCAAAAAACTCATTCATCTCTAAATTTTAATCCTCTTTAAACCTTTCTTAAGCTTCTACATCACTTAAGGTTTCAAAATAAAACTAAAAACGAAAGAAAAAACTAACTAGATGAAGCCTTACCTTTGCTATACGGGGCTCGGGACGTGAGGAAGAAGAAGAGGAGATAACCAACAGAACTTATCCCATTATTCTCCTATTCACTTATTTAAATAACCCAATTAAATGTTACTAGTATCGATGGAGAGTGATAAACTAATAATGTGCAACTCATTTATCAAGTTGAAGGGAAAACAAGCTTAAATGCGAGTAGTGATTTATTAATAAATAACCAATCTCCAGTTGAGTATTGTGCTAATTTAATAAAATACCACATGAGTAGTGATGGTGCTTAATTCCTTATTTGTTATAAAATATTAAAAAATTAAATTACTCTTGTATAACGTTCTAGGTGAGAGAATGAATTATGTAGTATAATGAATTATGTAGTGCAATGAGAGAAAATGACCTCACTTGATTATATTGGTTGTGAAACTTGTATAGCTCAGTTATCTTGTTAGCGTTATAAGGAAATGATTGGTGTGTGACATATGAGAACATATGCATGTTGTGACTGTGTGCGATGATGATCTTTAGATATGCATATGTTTGACTTGATTGTTATGGTGACATATAATCAGTTCTATATATCTTGAGCGAGAATTTTATTAAGGCATAAGTGAGACTGAATTTTTCTATATGATCTATATTTGGTGGCTATGATAAGACAGAAAGATCATTTGTTGTGATTGATGAAAATTGTACTAAAACATATGTGACATTAGACTTCCCCGTTTCAATTAGTACATGACTAGTACTATAACGTCAAGTGCTACAATTGTGTTATGTTTATGATTATGTGATATATGTTATTGTGATTATAGATTAAAATATGTTTATGGGTAGACCCTTCGTCGTGGACTAGGAAAAGTATAAGACTATTATTGTTGCTGAAGAAAGTTGTTAAACTTTAAGCATGTAGCGCTTGAATTTATGAATCATGCATGTACCTATTGTTTATTATTTATTGTTTATTCCGCTAGCATATTTTTGTTTATGAGATTCATGATGTATAAATTAGATTAGCACCATCTTGTAGAACCTATCATTTGTTATTCATAGTAGAATACTATTATTTTAGTGGACATATGTATTCCTAAGACCTTATATTTTTTAGTTGGTCTGTAAACTTTATGAGTGTTGTATTATTTTGATTTAAACAAAATTGTCAAGAAACTTCAGTTTATATAAAATATTTTATAATTGTTATGGATGTTGTAGTTTATCTAATTCATATTGTGTTTTGAAATTTAAATGAAAAATATTTGTCAAATGTGATGATTGTTTCAACAACTCGATGTGATATCTTAAACTCATCTGTCAGTGGTCGAGTTTGAGGTGTTACACGTATGGTAAAACAATAAATGTTGGTCATATCAACTTAGTGAATGGTCATAACTACTGCTAAGTCAATACTACCACATATCTTACATTGAAAGATGCTATACGCAATTCATGTACCACATTTCTTTCCAAGAATCATGTAAAACTTCATGCTTTATTTAACACAGATTATAAATCATGTTCTTAAAGTTACATCTAGTTTATTTGCAATACTTGTAAAATCATTTTTTTAATGTATTGTCTCTTCTAATTCACATGAAACAGTATGTTTAAATCTTTTTATAACATCTTAATATGACTCATAGTCCGGTAATATCTGTTACACATGTATCTGTACGCCAACAATGACTAAATTATTTTAAAGAAAAAAAAACTATTTTGGATAAAAAGTTAGCACCATAATAATGTAGTGACAATCTAGATAGTTTACCAAAAAACTTTGGAGATCATGCTGATTTAAATTAATTTTTTAATTTACATTTAGGATTCAAAATGTCCTAAATTTGAGGCTAAATTTGTTCTAAATGAGGCTCAGTTTTTTGGGATAGTATAGCTATATGTTCAAATCATCTCAATTGTTGCAACTTTAGATTCAGTTCATTCAAAATATTTTGAGCTGAATCTATTTAAGTTCAGGTTAAACGAATGATTTTATTAAGGTTTTTTTTTTTTTTTTTTGAAGAATCAATTCTATGAAGTTGAGGTCAAAATTGAAAGGGCAGTGTATAATATAGAATAGAAATACAGAAAGGATAATCAACATGCAATGGAAACGAACAGAATTTATATCTGAAAATATCGGCCGTGTTACAACCCAATAATCTCTCTAAACTTTCCTGACCTCAACTACCAGCCTACAAATACCATTTCCAGAATTTTACAAGACAGAACAGATTACGTTGGCAATGCACATACATTCAATGAATATAACAATCTACCAACAGAAACAAAAGCCAGTGACCCAAATTCTAAATTTTCAACTTTTACACGACGGCTCTCCTCGGGAAAACACCCCGACCTGAGAACCCCCACCATTAATCAATCCACTGCTGGTGCAGTTTGCACAAAGAATATAAATTTCTTGTCCTTAAATCTTCGCCTGGTACTCTCTGACCAATATCAATCAACTTTCGGTATTGTTAGAACTTCATTAGGTTAGAGGGGATGAAGTTAGCAAAGTCAGGCTCCATCACTTTCTGTCTGCACGTCCACCTACTATCTATAATCTTCACTTCAATCCAGTCTCCTTTACATTGGCCCCCTCACTTTAATGCGTTTCGGAATTGGACCCATCTGTAATGGAGGAGGTTCCCTCGTGCACTTTCCTAGCTCGTATTTTAATCTGTCATTTCGGTGCTGCTCTTGCTGCCGAATCATTGCCTCATCATTTCCCAACTTCCTATACTTGATAGTAATGGGAAGGTGGCCTCTTCGAACTTCTTTATAATCGGAAGTGCGACTAATGTTGTGATTCCGTTCATCATTTCGAAAGCATTCAGATTGCTGACACCTTCCTTCATGTTGGAGTTTCTTTAATCGCTTGAGCCCCTTTAAAATGAACAAAAGGGAGAAAAAAACAACTAAGGCTAGATTCTAAAGAAATGAAAGAACTGAAAAGTGAATAAGGCAAGAAACTGGCTGCAAAATGCTTAATGATAACACAATAATCAGATCAAAGATGGCTATAATAGTGGAAACATAATGCAACTAATTACAAAAGATTCAAAGGCTAGTTTAAATCCTCTAACAGACCTTCACCAGACTCACTTGAGAGCAAAAGTGATGAGATGCTTACTGTAAAGCAAATATAAAACAGCGTGAAGCCATGAACGATTGACTTAAGACATTATTTCTCACATCAATGAACTTGTTGGAACAAAATTCATGTTTTTACACCTTTCGCATATATAATCAGATTGCATTTCAACTAATTTATGCATTATACTTCTCTCAATTTATATAGACAAATGAAGTCCAAAATCTTCAAATTCATGTTCACAAACATAGAATTAATGAATTTCAACTTCTGATTCTAATGAATAGTTTTCCAATCATTTTATGACAACAAAAGGCACCCTGAAAGTTAAATTGGCCATTTTATAAACATAAGAGATTAACTTTGGAATGCGATAATTATACCTGGTGTCCAGAGCTGGTCTGATTCCCATTTCTTTTCTCAACCTTCAAAAAAGAAGGCCGTTTAACCCTAAATATCTCTGAATCAGAACTATCACTGTCATGGGCGACTATAGACTCACTCACTGGTTCATGACCATTATATTGATGGATACCTGGACGATCTTCACGTGACAAACAAGATACAGATGATTCATATGTATTTTCTGAGACTTCTTCGGATAACCTTATATCATTAGTGTTTCTTAGGTTAGCTAACTCCTGTACCTGCTTTGGAATTTAAAATAAAAAGGTTTCACTTAGCATGGGATGAACAGTCATTAACATTACAATACTAAATAAGGCACCCTAACCCTAAAATACTCAGCAGGTAGTAGGTGGATCTTACATTTTTTGGCGAGGATCTGACACTTTCCTCAAAAGAACATAAAGTTGATGCGGCAAAAGAAGAGAAATCATCTGCGGGTTCAGGTCGAAAATTTCCAGTCTCATGGCTCGTTGAAGGATGTCCATATTCTACTGGTTGACCCGTAGTTGAAGTTATTGTAGCAACCTCCAGATTCAAAACAACATTTATCTCACAGTATGGAACGTATCCATCCTCTACATTCTGGAACTTATTTGATAATGGATAGGAATACATGTCATCTCCATTTTCAGCTTGTCGCTCAACTGCTTCTGATATGGCGTAGTCTTCCTCAAACTTCTTGGCAGTAGCTTCCATCTCTACAACATCATCCCTCAAGAAAAGACCATGATAGTTCCCACATGGGAAGTCAAGTGACTTAATATCTGCAAAATTTTAATGGAGTTCATCATAAGATGAAATTTCATAACAAAGGGAAATTACCAAAAATAGAGCAGTATCAGAGAAAGGTTACCATGTCGCAGGCAAACAGGATGAGAGTTACAACTGCAGTTAACAAAAGCAATGTAACAGTCACGTTTGCATAAAGTGCAGACGATAGTTTGATAATAATTTGGAGACACACTGGTACATGCCCTAGCTTTCATGATAGACCAACGGGCCCGGTGCAAGAAACGTATCAGCTTTACAAATGACACCTTAATACAATGATGAGAAGTCAAATCTGTGGGCAGAAAATTCAAATCTTCCAGTTCTAAACTTATATTGAGAAGCATAGCTTCTTTGCACAAAAGTTCCTCATGAGGAAGGAGAGGCACCCTGTTGAGAAGTGCATAACGTAAGCTTGCCACAGCGCCCAAAGGAAACCAATCTCCAATAGCAAAATTCACAGCCTCACCACAATTGAAACCTAAAAGATTACAATAAGAAACATATTCTTTAATTCTGTAAGAGCACAGAGAAAGAACAGCTTAAGTAAATAGGCCTTACCATGACTGAAGCCAGCATGATAAGCTCTCGGAAAGGTAATTACAAACTCTCCAGGATTCTGTACAGCCTTGTAAACAGGGACATCATGCTCCAACAAAATATTTGGAGGAAATAAGGTTGTTTTACCCAAAAGCACATCAAAAGCTCCATCTTCGCCATCCACTGATAGGATATCATTAGTGTACACATGTTCCTTGACAACCTTCTCAAATCTTAAAGCAGAATGACCAGGTACGCCATACCAAGTTTTCGCAGCCCCACAATGATGATAATTAATGCTGCCACAAACGAATAAAAGGATTACTGACAGAATATTGAGAAAGTAAATAACTTAAAAAGAAACTAAATGTTTTATAACATCTACCTATACAAATAATGATCCTCCACATGCCAAGCAAACATACTAAATAGCATTCCTATGTAAAGCATGGGGTCGCTTACTCCCTGAAACAAATCAGTTCAATATAATAGAGCCTTAAATGTAAGCAGATAAATGATTCATATATGGAGAGAGAATTTGAGATTTGGATCAACTCAATACCGGAATTGCAGTTTCGAGAAGACGCAAAGTGGACTTTGGCAGCAGAGAGAGTTTCTGAAATCAACCAAAATGAAGTACATAAAAACCAATTGAACCATAATCAAGAACAGGGATAGAGCCAATCAAAATAAGGTTAGAATCAAATTGCTTCCTCAGTTCAAATCAACTTTGAAGTCATTAAAGTTCAATCAGAAATGCAATAAAATAGAAATTTTACTTTCTAAAATTTACTATCATGGAAAAATTAAAGAAACAAGCCTGTACCAAAAAAGACACTAGAGATTGTGTACTGAATTCAACACCTTCAAATTCCATTTGCTTGTTCCAAGCGGGTCGCTTGGAGAAGAAGAAAAGGCACTACCCTCAACATCACAAGCATATTCAACACTTTCAATCCTCCCACAGGCAATTTCATTCCAAAATTCTTTTTCCATATATGTTGCAGGAAGACAACCAGCACTACAATATCTACGGGAAAACACCTTGTTCGCCATTTTCTCGAAATCACGAAATGTATAATTCCTGAAAAGCCATGCTCAAATTCAGATCCAGAAAAATATAGTACGCACTAAATAACATTTGTTTCAAGTAAGAGAGCTCACCTTCCACTCATGAAAAAGGTGACTCGGTCATCAGAGTGCCACTCAGCAAGACGAAGTGGCTGCACTCTAGTTGTGAACTTGAATCCTGCTTTCTCCTTCATTAATACAGCTCCAGCAGGAACAGTAGCACTTACAGGGGAAATGATTTTGCAGATCCCTGCAAATTACAGAGAAAATATTCAAAACACCTTAGCATTTATTTCCTAGGGGAAAAAAAACTAAAGAGGTACTTTTTAGAAAGTTTTCCTTCAAGATCCAAAGAAGTATATCCCTTCTTTGGCTGGTTTTTATTGAAGTTCCAAATAAGTTAACTAGGTTTTATTGGCGTGCCAAAGAAGTTATTTAACATTTCTTCCATAAATACTGTTAAAACATTTGAATCTGATAATTAATTTCACAACAGATTCATTTATTCCGATCTTTCTATCTATGCAACAATGAAAATGGGATCCTATTACTACAACCACAATGAAAACCTTCACAAAAGATATGTAGCACTGAAGACAAGCAATATCACATAGATGAAGCCGCAGTTGCTTCATTCAGTCACTAGAGAAATAATATTTAACAAAAAAACCTTCCAATAAGAGTTTATATGCATTGATGTCTAGTAGAAAATGCATTTAAAGACATAAAACCAAGATAGGGACCATCATATGTCTCTATTTTCTATGTTTTATTTTTAGGTTGTATTTTCTCGTCCTCCAACCAAGGTTGGAGTGGGGAGTGGATGTTGGTGGTGGGATTTGGAGATGGAGATGAAAAGTGTTGAAATTGCTACAGAGGCTAATAAAACACGGGTCTTACCATATTTGGAAGCTTCAGGAGCTATCTTCTGCAAATAAACCAAAGGATCTTCAAACTCTTCCTTTGTGGGGTAGAATACAGGACATTCTGGAATTTTCTCAGTCCATTCTAGATCGTTAGTGTAAAACTTATCAACCTTGCGCTTTGAAAAGGCATCCTTCTCACTTGAAGAAAAATTTGACCTAGAAAATGGTTCAGCTTTCCCCTGCAACCTCATTCCACGTGATGCTGAAACTCTCAATCTATCTCCCCCACTTCTAGACATCATATTTGTAACACCAGATGTCACAGAGACAGTTTCGGATTTTATTCGTTGAAGCCTTTTACGCTTCAATATCTCTAACCCGTTTCTTACCTCTTGGGATAAACACACCCTTCCTTCCACCTATAAAAAGAAGTAGATAAACAAGTTTAAAGAATCATATATCAATAAATAGAAACAAAGAAAGAGGCAAACTTGAGAAGCATGTAACCACAACATAAAAGCACCTCCAACATTCCCCACATATGAGGTTAAATGCTTCAACTTTTCAAACATATCAGCACCTAATTGCTATCCAACTAACCTACATACTTGCATGCAGCAAAAACATTCATAACATACTAAATGCACACGGGCAACACCATTAGTTTAAAATGTTTTCAGTAAGTTACAGTTAAATATTAGTTCAACCTCTGCTGCAATTAGCTGCTATCACCTAGACTCAGAGCAGAAATTTCAACGAAGCTCTTAACAGAATAGATTGTCAGTAATTCAGGTTTTTTTTCCATTCTCGGCCTAAAATAAATAATAAAAGTCATATTCTAGTCTAACAATCAAAGATCATTTCAAATCATCAGAGTACCAAATCAGGTAACAAAATTATGATGCAAAGGCTACAGTCCTTACAACGCGTATAAGAACAAACCTTAGCACAAAAAGATAATGTGAATGCATTTACATCCATGTTTCAATCACCATCACTAGACCAGACTCCCATCCGGTGGTAATAATGTAAAAGGGATCAAAGTTCATTCTGAAATGATAACAGTGAAAAGGAATGGGAAATCAAAAGGCCGACGCCATCAAATTCAGAACCAAAATTTCTAAAGCATACAAGAAGACAGATGGTTGACTGAGTCTAAATCAACTCAACAGCCCAAGTAGATTAAAATTACAACACCAGACTTTCCATTAAAATTGTGAGTCAATGGTTTACGACAAGTTGAATCCATCGTACATAGCATATATGCCATAAATATGAAGTCAAAATTTGAGTAATAACAGAAACCTATGTTAAATCGTCAGTCAAAACCAGACAAGTTCAACAATAAAACACGGTATTAAGAGAACTTTAAAAAATAATTGAACAAAATATGAAATTCATTAAATAACTTAATCTTATCCACAAAATTTAAAACGTAGTCAAAATAAACTCTACCTCAAGAAGGAAATTCAACAAACGAGCATGTAAATTAATTTATGCAAAACTATTTTTATTAATAGAAATATAGGAAAGCTGGTAAAATTTGAGATGTTAATCTAAAATGAATGATAAGAAAAAACTGATAAGCAAAATCCTCAGCGCATGAAGTTCTCATTGAAGAATTTCTTTCCAGAATCAAAATTGTAGTTTCTATTTTCTGAAATGATGTAGAACAAAAATAAGAAACCAGAAAAATCATGGAAAATTAATAAACCGTTTCATAATTAAAATGCTTTGGATCCGTACAACGACGCACAGAATAAATAAAAATAAAAGTGACGAAAATCGATTGAAAATCTCAAAAAAGAAAAATATATAAACAGAAGAATTTGACGCACCATCTCATTCCGCAATGGTTCTTTGCAGTTCACCGTTTTGTCGCAACTCATCAAAAGAAACAATCCAGAGAAAATGAAAAAAGGAACAAAATCCGGGAATAACAAACCCTATATCACGATCTTCAACATTTGGAAACATCAGACGACAACCAAACATGACACATTCTGAAAACGCGCCGCGTTCTCCACCGGAATGAATCAAACCCCGAGATCCGTATCCGAATCACGAAAAGAAATGCTTAAAACATCACAGGAAAATTATCAACACTGGAGAGATTAGTGGTTTCGGGAAAGCAGTAGGTTCTCTTCGCCTGAAATAAACGCGGTTTCCCGGCGGAGGGAGCGGTTTTCCGATGAAAGGTAAGAGAGAGAGAGGGGGGAAGGAAGGCTGAGAAAAGTGGAAAAGAATAAGGATAGGATAATTTATACATTTTATAGCCAAATTTTAATGCTTTAGATGCGCTTTAATATTATTAATTAAATAAAAATAATTTATTAAGTAAACTTTTTTATATAAAAAAAGGAAATAATTGAAGGGGAGTTGTGAAGGAAAATGGTGGTTGTTGGGTGGTTTAACATAAACACCTTGCCGGCCAAAAATGCTTTTTTTCCCTTCTCTTTTCAATTAAGGAAGCTTCCGTGCTTATTATCCCTTTTACCTCATTACCCCTTATAACAATTTTAATTAGTGATTAAAAAGTTGGATTAGTAATGGAGTTAACTGCTTTAAATACTCCAAAGTTACGGTATGGGTTATAAATCATTCTTTCAACTTTAAAAAACAATAATTAAATTCTCGAAACATTAGATCTAATTGGTCAAGTTTTTTCATCATCATCACCATTAAATTTGGTATTAAAAAGTAATTCAAATTTGATATAGAACATCTTTCAAATCTCATCATCTAATTGAATTAATAATGAAGTTAATAGTCAGTATTCATTATGCTTTATGTTATATCTTTATTTTTTATTTTTATAATTTTATCCTTATGTCTTTTTGTCTTTTTGTATATTTTTGAATTTTTATATCGATCGTTTTTCCGTTCTTATCGCCTAACTCTCTCAGGTTTATTTGACATCGCCTCAACTAATAAAGATGGTTTTTATTTGTTATGTTGTCTACTTTGGACTCTCGAATTGAATTTGCATATGTGGTTTGCATTCAGAGACAGTTCTCTCACGACGCACGACTTTGATTTGCAATTATCGATGATCTTTCAGTAATTTGATCTCTTATTGTAGGTTGTTTGTTTATGTAGTGATGTCTATTAGCATCTACATTTTGTTGGAGTTTTTTATATAAATGTTTAATATTTTCCTTGTATGATCTTAAGTGAATAATTTTTTGTGTCGATGGTTATAAAAATTATCTTAATTATGTAATTAGTTTGCAGTTGTAAACTTTTATTGTAATTTTAGTTTTTTTAAAGGAAGCTAACGGTTCCTATTTATATAAAAAATGTGTATATTTATTATATGAATAATTTAAACTTAATTTTATTAAAAGAAATAATTTTGAATTTAATGATGATATTTAACTTATTAACACATTACATTTAAGTTGTTTATATTTTAAGTATGTTTATAATTTAATTCACGTGTTTTAAAAATACTCTATCTCATATATATAAATTAACATTTTAAATTAAAAACTCATCTAAAATATGATCCGATTGATAGATGATTGATTCTTTAAGGATTTAATTAGAAAATTTTAGAAGTGACTATAATTTAAGACCTGTTCTATAGTTTAGAGACTTCCAGCCAAATTAACCCTAAGTGTGTGTTTGGTTCACGGAATATAAGATTATCAGTGGGAACATAAGATTATCAAGGAATAAGATTAATGGGAATGTTGTATTTTGTGTTTGGTTAGTCTAGCAGGAATATAAGATTATCGTGTTTGGTTAAAGGAATAAAATATTATTGAAATGTATATTTGACTAAATTGTCTTTATTATATATTTATTTTTTAACAAGTTGGAAAATATTTATATATTTTTTAAAAAAAAATTAAATTCATAAAATTTATATAATTTTTTTTACAAAATTAAAAATATAAAAAGGTTTAATGAAAGGGTAAAATTTTATTTTAACCCTTGAACTTCATATAAAATTTTAATTATAGATTTTTTTGTAAATCTAAAATAGTTTAAGAATAAATTTATAATTTAACCTTCGTACAGAAAAAATATATTTTTGAAAAAAAAAATTAAGGGTATTTTAGTCTAAAACACTGGTAATCCAACAATACCTAAGGAAATAGAGGTAACGATATTTCTAATAATATACTCCAAAAAATCTATTATTAATAATCTTACATTACCAAAAATAAAATTCTCGACTAACCAAACCAAAGAATCCCACATTCCCCCACAATCACCCCCCCTAATATTCTATGTTCTGTAGGGCTTTACTGTCAATTCAGACGGACGGTGTTACCGAAGACTTCTGGTTTCTGCTTTTGGTCATAGAAAAGAAAGAGTCTGGAAGGATCACATAATCACGAGTATGTAAAATGTAGTTACTAATTAAATCTGGCCGTCCATTGAATTTAATCAGGAAATTTTAACGGCCAAAAGTAACGAGCCCTATGGATTCGGCATCCTAATTGGCATTGTTGGTTCAAACAGGTGAGATGTACAGTAACAGCTTCACCTACCTTGTAGTTAGTTAGTCCACCTAATGAAAAGACAAAAGTCTCCTTAAGTGGTTGACCCTTTTCTACTCAAAAGCAGGGCATTTTAGACAGTCTACAGTTACTGAGTCAATTCAATTTGTAAGGATATCAAATAAATTCTTAATATTGGTAAAAATAATAAGTATTAAAACGGTAATGTTACATTTAGTACATGAATTAATTTTTTTTCATATACAATAAACTATTATTACTATATAACTTTTAGTCACTCTTGTATTTAAATCTCATAAATACAATAATTATATATATATATATACTTATTTTGATTAAGTATTAGTTTTAGTGGCATCCTTTCTAGATCCACAATGAAGTCTTTCATTCATCATTAAATGTGTGTGGCATCCTTATCCATGCATCAAACAGCATTCAGAGCTTTCTTTAGTGGAAGAAGAAAGTGTGCAATGAAGCCCTTTAAAGAAGTAAAAACCAAAACAAAAAGAAGTATAAACGACAAAGAAAATGAAAAACAAAAAGCAAACTCCATTCAACTTCAACAAGGAGTTCAAAGCAAAAAAAAAAAGAAAAGCCAAAGGAAAGTGCATCAAAAAGAGCAAGGGTGAAGCACTACAACATCAAATTCATCACCAAGTCTGGAGGTCGCCTTCAAGACCTTGATTGTGGAGAAAGAAATGTTGTAAATGATACTTGACAATGAGTAAACTTTTCTACCTATTTCTAAGCCACATTTTTCAATCAATTTTATTTTCTTTCCTACCCTAACCTATTTGCAGCTGGCACCACAAAGTACTAAGACCTAGATAGATTTTTAAGTAAGTTCTCAAAGGACTTCACTAGAGAGAAAGAAGTGGTAAAAGGCAATTTTGAGCATATGAGATCAGAAGAGGACAAAGTAAAAGCTAAATCAAGTCCTGAGTGCAAAAGCAAGTGATTGAGTGTCATTTACTTTCTTTGGAGTGACCTCGAAAGATTTTGTGAGAGTATTTTGCTAAGGTCCTTCTACACATTTACTTTCTTATCTTCACTAACAATGTCTCAAGGTTCAGAGAATTCACACCGAGGATTGTACCAAATCTTCAAGAACAAGCAACAACGAGAAAGATGTTGAGATTTTTAAGGTTGTAACTTGAACCTCTTAATGAAAGGCTTGATAAAATCGAGACTTCAAAAGGAAATACTCAAAACAATCCACGAAGACATGTAATGCCCCGAAATATGGGTTAGGAGTTTCGAGTTTATTCGAATGGACCTTAGAATAATTTCCCCTTATCTTGTGAAGTTTTGGACCCAAGTGGATTTGATTTGGGCATTAGATGATCCTAATAGGTGTTAAAAATGGTGTTTTTAAACATGTACCTAAAGAAGAGGGATTTAGTGCGTAAATAGCCCAAATATTTGAAACAAGTTGATTCTCATTAATTATGATGATATCATCGTCTGTTTTTCCATATCTTTTTTTCATAATTGTTTGTTTTTCTTCCTCTCTTCTTCCTCATCTTTTATCCTCCCAAGTCAAGTTAAAGGCCCAAGCTTTTTAGTTTTGCTAGCTTGACTTAGAATTCAAAGGTAATATTCATAAACTACTCCTCCTAAGCTTTAAATCAAGCTCTCATTTGCAAGGTTTGGGTGTGTTAACCAAAAATGAGTTTTAGTGGGGTTTATTAAAAATTGAGATTTTAATCTATTATTGGGGAGTTTAAAGTTATAGAAATCGTTTCTAGTACTCCCTTAGGTTCCAAAATGAGTGGTAACTAATTTTCCTTGTTTTAATTAGTGCAAGAGAAGGTGTAGAGTTCTAAAGCAAGATGCAAGGAGATTTTGGTCCTTGGTTGAGTTAAGGATATTTTTTTCAGTAGCTTGGAACCAAGGTAACATGATTCTAACTTGACCATACCATATGTAGGTCATTGTGTGTGCATATATGGTTTGTTTAGCTCATGAAGCATGCTAGAGTAATTTCATTGTAAAATCTGCATTTGATGTTTGTAAGCATGAAAATGATAACTTTCGACCTCTAAGACCTTAAATAAGACTTTAATAAGCTTTTTTAGTCTTAGGGGAGTGAATGGGTGAGATTTAAATGTAATTTCATGCCTAAAATAGGGCACTTCAGGCTGTCGGTATCGGTACTGTAAAAAAAATATTGATATTGTTCTTTGTATACGGTAAAATAAGGCTTTTCTGTGAAGGAAATATCGATTCTCCTTTAAGAGGTATTGGTACTCGGGGTCCAGTATCAATACGCAGAGGGTATTATCAATATCGGTGACAAATTTAGGATTCGAGAATACTATTTTGGTACCCATACTCATGGTATCAATACCAAGGGTAGAGTATCTATACTCCCTATAGGAGTATCGATACTGAGGTATTTTTGAAAACATCAGAGTTATTTTTTGTATCGATACTCACCCTGAGTATTGATACCCAAGGGTAAATATCGATATTGTTGACAAAATATTGATACTATCGTATAATCTTAGGTATTTTGGTTCAATCGATTGGGGTGTTTAGGTTCAGGTGTTTCAAGGTCGAATAAGCTTAATGTATTCGAATACAAGTGGGAACAATTAAAAGTAATTAATTACATGCCTAGAAACCAAGTAAGTTAAGGTGACATAAGATTTGCCTTTATATGAGGCT